TAACTGTAGGGACTTCTGCTACATTCTGTTGCTAAAACTTCTGTACATATTCTTAAATATGAAAATGTGACTGAGAGAAAACTGGCAAAAGCACAGTCTCCAGCTTTCATTTGTTTGCCTGCCTGCCTGGGCGCTATCTAAAACCAGATTGTGACTTTCCTGACTTTCTCATATGCATATTTTTCCCACATTTTTCAGTCACAGTTTTTTTGCAAAGTGACTTGCATTCTATATGGCTGAATTTTAAATTCCCACTAATAGCTGAAACAGAAAAGCTCAATATTTACCTCCTACGAGCACTGATACTAGTCAAAATCAGTATATAGTTCCTTATGAAGAGTGATCAGTGAAACACAGTTAAATCTTTTTTTAAGTTAAAGTTCCTTTACTTTCCACTACCTTCACCTTACTTCTAAGGTGTGCCAAAAATACTAGATTATTACAGACAACTCAGCACAAAGTGTGACTAAGGAGTTTTGGTTATATTAAAGGCATAATGATTTTTGAAAACTCGTGATGTCTTAGAGTATCCTGCCTTGTTGCTAGTGGCTACTCCAGAAAGACACAAGACTCCCATAGGATGTGGGTATGTATTTTGACCCTATGTGCCCTGGGACAACTGAGAGTATCTGAGATGGCAGCAGGTAACCCACTACCTGTGGAGAACCTTTAATGACTGTCATTGAGAATCAACCCATGAAGGGCTAGGACAATACCACAGGAAAGAAGGGAGTATTCATCTTTAAAAAGGAATGAGGATTTGAGCTATTACAGCTTAGAAAGCCTAACAACATCCCTGGTGGTACTAGAACAAGTCATTTAGTACCACAAACAGATATATCTTTACTTGTGCACAGCTTTTGACACAGTTTCAGGAGACATATTTGGACTCAGGTATATCAAACAGAAAGTAGGTACATAGCCTGTTAAAAAAAAAGAAAAAGCATATTCAAAGAGCATGTTACCAATAAGAGTAAAACTTGGGTGGTTAATTTGAATGACATCTCATTGAGACTCTTCTGGATTTCATTCAGTCCAACATTTTATTGGTAATTTGGATGATTGATCACTCCTCTCAGATCTGGTATCCCCTGTGAACTTGCAGAGAACACACTTTGTTCTATTGTCCAGGTTACTAACAAAGACATTAATCAGCATTGGCACCGGTACTGATCCTTTAGGGACATCCCTAGTAACCAGCTGCCAGCTGGACTTTGTACCACTGATCACAATCCTCTGAGCCCAGCAGCCCAGCCAAGTTTCCACCCATTATATTCTTTACCTAACCAAAACCCAAAACGTATCATCTGTCCAATTTGGCTCTAAGAATACTATGGGAGACCATATCAAAAACCTTCCTAAAAGCAAAGCAAGCAACACCCAGTGCTCCTCAAAATCCCACAAAGCTAGTCAGCTCATCACAAAAAACAATCAGGTTGGTTAGGCAGAGTTTAAACAAGTAAATCCATGCTGACTGTTCCCAAGCACCTTGGTCTTCATGTGCCTGGACACAGCTTCCAGGAGAATTTTCTCCACAGACTTCCCAGAAACTGAGGTTAAGCTGATTGCCTTTCTTGAAGATGGATGTGACATTTTCCATTTCTGAATCATCAGAAATATCCTCCAGTCACTACAAACACTCAAAAATGTCAGGAAGTGACTTTGCAATGCTGTTGGTCAGCTCATTCCCCACCCTGAAATTCATCCTTTCTGTTCATGATTTGCTTAAGTGGTTTCTAACTCTATTTCTTGGCTTGGACAAATGTACTCTTTGCTGGGTGAAAAACTGGCTGGAATGGACGAGCCCAGAGGGTTGTGGTGAATGGGGTTAAATCCAGTTGGCAGCGGGTCACTAGTGGTGTTCCCCAGGGCTCGGTGTTGGGCCCGGTTCTGTTTAATATCTTTATCAATGATTTGGATGAGGGGATTGAGTGCACCCTCAGCAAGTTTGCAGACGACACCAAGTTGGGAGGCAGGGTCGATCTGCTTGAGGGTAGGAGGGCTCTACAGAGAGATATGGACAGGCTGGAGGCCAATCGTATGAAGTTCAACAAGGCCAAGTGCCGGGTCCTGCACTTGGGTCACAACAACCCCACGCAACGCTACAGGCTTGGGGGAGAGCGGCTGGAAGGCTGTCCAGTGGAAAAGGACCTGGGGGTGTTGGTCAACAGCCGGCTGAATATGAGCCAGCAGTGTGCCCAGGTGGCCCAGAAGGCCAACGGCATCCTGGCCTGTATCAGAAATGGTGTGGCCAGCAGGAGCAGGGAGGTGATCGTCCCCCTGTACTGGGCACTGGTGAGGCCGCACCTCGAGTCCTGTGTTCAGTTTTGGGCCCCTCACTACAGGAAAGACATGGAGGTGCTGGAGGGTGTCCAGAGAAGGGCAACCAAGCTGGTGAAGGGTCTATAGCACAAGTCTTATGAGGAGCAGCTGAGGGAACTGGGGCTGTTTATCCTGGACAAAAAGGAGGCTGAGGGGAGACCTTATCACTCTCTACAATTACCTGAAGGGGGGTTGTAGTGAGGTGGGTGCTGGTCTCTTCTGTCAGGGGATTGGGGATAGGACAAAAGGAAATGGCCTCAAGTTGCTGCAAGGGAGGTTTAGGTTGGGTATTAGGAAAAATTTCTTTACTGAGAGGGTTGTCAGACATTGGAATAGGCTGCCCAGGGAAGTGGTTGAGTCACCATCCCTGCAGGTATTCAAAAAGCGCGTAGACAAGCTACTCCAGAACATGGTTTAGTGGGCATGGATGATGGTTGGACTCGATGATCATGAAGGTCTTTTCCAACCTAAATGATTCTATGATTCTATGATTCTTTTACTGTAGGTAGAGCTTCAGTCACTAGGCTCAGGGACTTGGGAGTCCTGAGAGTAAATCTTGCCAGTAAAAAAAAAAGACAAAGTCATTGAGTACCTTAACCTGTTCTGAGTTCTTTTCGCTAGGTCCTCTGCCCTACTGAACAATGAATCTGTATTTTTCTTAATTTTTCTTTTTGCTGTGAATGTACCTATAGAAGTCCTTCTTGTTGACCTTCACAACCCTTACAAGTTTCAACTCCAGCTAAGCTTTGGCTTTCCTAACATCCATCCCTGAGTACTCAGGCAATGTGTTTATATTATTTCGGTGTAGCTCATCCCAATTCCATATTATTTTTACTTCTTATTTGATTGAGCTGTTAGGAGTTTCCTATTCAGCCACAGTGGTTTTGTGCCGTACTTGCTTGACTTGCACACAAGAGTGGACTTACCTTGTGCTTCTCTCAGAGGTTGTCCTGGGAGATCAGCCAGCTCTCCTGGCCTCCTTTGCCTCCAGGCCAGTCTGCTATGAGACCATGTGAAGAAGATCTCTGAACAAGCTGAAATCTGTTCTCCTGAAGTCCAGGGCTGCAATGCTGTTATTGATCTTGGTCATCTCTCCACCATATCATGGTTGCTGCAGCCCCATCATGCTGCAGTGCCCATCAACATCCTCACCCCAACCTCTGTTTATTCATTGATTTGCATAAATACAACATAATCCTAAGGCAACTAGGCAGGAGAATATAAAAAAAGGATATGAAGCTGATCATTTGAGACTGTGGTTTTGCTGCAAAACTCTTGTTCTGGGATATACTTCTAGAAAATAATCTGAAAATCATAGGAAATAATTATTTTACTTTATTTGGTACTGTGTTCAGTTTTGGCCATCATGTCTTCAGAAAGACACAGAGAAACTGAAGAGAACTCAGAGAAGCAACGATAGCACAGATCAGGACAGCTGACAAGAAGCAGTTGGTAAATTTGCAGGAAAACCTCCTTTAGGCCAGCTGTTTGGAAGGATTTTCTGCAAGGAGAGTGAAGCACTACAACGGGTTATCTCACAGACTGTAGAACTCCCTTCCTTTCATTTTATGTGAAAAAGGCGTCTCTCAGTTTTCCAGGAATTTTTCAACAGAGACCCTCCCATCCCAGCCTCAAGTCTTTTAATGTTAAAAAACTGTTCCTAAAAAAAAATTCTATTCCTGAAAATGAAGATTTTGTTTCTTTTTCAGTGTCTTCCTTGTTTGTTTGGGGTTTTTTTGTTGCTGTTGTGAATTTCAGCCAACTTTTTTTTTCTGCCAGTATGGTTATTTTGGTCCAAAAAAGCCACTTTAAGCATTCTTGAAATGGAACCAGAGGAGACAGCCTGGCCTCCCTGTTCCATCGCATGCCTCACCGATGGCATCACTTGAATAGCGCTAGAAACCAACACTGGGGTGCTGATGTGGTGAAGGCATGACCCTATTCCCTTCCTTTCCTCTTACTCAGGGGCAGTAAAGAAAAAGTACTAGATTTTCTCCAGGATTAAGAATGTCCTGGAGAAGCATGCATGGAAGGTTCTCTGTGTCGTTCTATCCTGACATATCTCTGACAATGCAGAAATATTCAGGCCTTTAAAAAGCATCTCTTAGTCTACTTGTTTACATTAGTATTACCAACTAAAGATCATCAGGTGGTGAATATTTCCAGAAAATATGGTAAAAAATGAAGGAGTACAAAATGCGCTAATGTTTAAGTCACAGACTTTTCAAAATTCTGTTGTTTCAGAACAATTTTTATCATCGTTAATTTTTCCTTTGAATTAAGCTACTTTCTTTAGCTGGCAGTTAAACTTGTGCCACCATACAGACGACTTCGTCATATCTTGGATCAGGCTCTCACTTGTCCTCCTTTGATTACCTGTGTGCATATTATCAAAGTTGCTACCTAGCTAGCCACAAACAGACATCTTGCAAACCTGTTTCCCCTAATGCTGTATGCTGTGTTTTGTCTCTGTACACAAATGGTATCAGGCTGACACTGTTGATTCTGCATTTCCAAGTTTACACTGCCTTTACAACCAGCCCTAGGAACATAAATGACAGTATGCTTTTTTCCTTTCTTTTGTACGGCTTGGTCAGGAACTCAACAATAGCTAACTCGTCGGTTCTACCAATGCTTCTAAACAATTTATTATTATTATTATTATTTTCTTCCTGTAGATTATAATACAAGCGAGCAAAAGCAAGCATGTAAGAAACATGAACTTTACGTGAGTTTCCGAGACTTAGGATGGCAGGTATGATTATAAATGCTGTTGCCTATCCGTTCAAATTGGGACAATATATTTTACAGTCCCCCATTATTTATAGTCTGTTTTCTTCATGGTAATTGGTATTGCACTGATGAGAGACAAATTCTTTAAAGGCATTTTGTAATGAATCCCTATCACTATCGCTTTACCTTTTTTGGCTGCTGTTCTTGCAAAGATTTTGCATACATTAATGGCTTTACAATCCAGATTCATTCACATAAAGACAAATCTGGACACTTACTCAAGATATGAATAGATCTGTGGTAAATGAAACCAAAATCCCCACACTGAGCAATGGAACTTTTGAAATTTACCCTTGAATTCTCCCTGGTTCAGTGCTGTCTACTGCAGGTCAGAGAAATTTCATGGGGGTAGAGTCTGTAGAGAACTAGACGTTGGATCACTGCTCAGTGGTCTTTATAACACCATAGCTAAGTTTAGATAATTTCTGGGAAAAACTCATCCTGCCATACAGTAACAAAAGAAGAAGGTACTTGTAGTAAAAGGTCATAAAGACAGAGGCAGGACATTATGAGAAAAGAAAATAGAGATCAATCTAGGTTTTTTTTCCAGAAAGCAAGGAGCTCTCTATAAAGAAAGAACAAGAAGGCCATCAGCAACCTATAACCTAGACCTATTGCATATGTAGGTAAGAACTCAGAGATGGCTGTCTGTGCATTTCACATTTCTCTGAATTATTGTAAAACAATTCTCCATGAGCAGAACAAGTCTATGAGAAGAAAAAGTGTGCTCTTTAGTGACAGCTCATCCTTTACATATCTAGCTCAGATTCTCATATGGCTCATTACTCTGCCTGATATTTTGTAGTATATTTATCCTCACAGCAGCCTGAAGAAGTAGGCAGAGACTGTTTTCCCAAGTCTGCAGAGCATAATCACCTTGTCCGTGGGCACAGAGCAGTCTTATGGTATTGACTTGAACTCAGGCTACTGAACAAGTGAGCCATTGTCTGTCTGTAGATCACAGATTTTTCCATATACCAACATTTTTTTCATTTTTGAAACAGTAAATTCTAGTATGCCCCAAGATGTGCAAGGCTCTCAGATCAGTCATTCAAGGTGGCTATAGAGAAAAGAAAATCTATGTTTTTCACAAAAAATACCTGAAGAATTCAAAGTTTCAGTTGGAAAGGCAAAGCTACACTGTACAATATTTGATCAGTGAAACTCAGGGTGAAATGAGATAAAAAGAAACAAAACCCAAGAAGTAGGTACTTGATCCTCCCTGCCCTTCCCACAGCACCTCCATTACCTTTGCCTGGCAAAGGAGGAATTCAGCAAACTAAACATATAGCTTTCATTAACCTTTTAAAATATTTTCCCTCTTGTGGTCTTCTCCCCATGCTGTGTTGCTAGAAATACTCAAAATGCATGATTCAGTGACATTCCAACGGGTAATCTCTAGCAACCGTCAGTCTCATGCAATAATACAATTAATGGTATTGAGTATGCTGAAGAAAAAGCATGCATTTTAATTACTTTTGTTGCACCAAGAAATGCTCAAGATTTTCAGTCTGGGAAGAAAAGTATTTTGACAAACATATTTGGACCTTTAATTCCCCTTATAGCTTCATTAGTTGATATTCAGTATAGATTTCTAAGTTTAGTTTAATTTTCATCTGAGTTTTGCATGAGCAAAGCAAATACTTCTTTTTTCTTTTTTTGGCAAAAAAAGTAATTTAACATGCCACATTGTGAAGTTCATTTTGTCCTTGGACAAGTCTTAGTTAGTTTGATAGAGTTTTAAATTGTCTGAGTAAGGAAAAAAAAAAAAAATTCAGTGGGTTTATTTGTTCTTGTTTTAGGATTGGATTATTGCACCAGAGGGCTACGCTGCATTTTACTGTGATGGAGAATGTTCTTTCCCCCTCAATGCCCACATGAATGCAACAAACCACGCCATTGTTCAGACTCTGGTATGCCTCTGCCTATGTTGTAGTTGCCTATTTTGCGGTTGTAAGTGTCTTGGCACAGGGGCTGTCTCTTCCTCTCTGTTTACTCCTATTGGATTTCGATTATTTCTGGGTAAATGATAACCCATTTCAAAGATGTTCTTTGATGATGACACCGGAGAGAGGATGAACTGTCCAGAGCAGCCTGTGTGGTAGGTTTCTTTTCCATTTCAAATGCAATAACACACAAGAAGACTGTGTCATATTACTGGAGAACTGTGTAGACAGGAACAAAGGGGGCCCCCTGGTCCCACTTCCAAGAGTTTTTTGCAGCTTATTGAAGCTCCATGTTAACATCTACATGCTATACCTTCCAGAAATGTTGATGCTTGGCCACTCTGTGGACCTCTGTTGTCAACTGTTGGCAGAGATACTTAAACTGTAATTTAGTGTAAAGCTTTGCAAGCAGATGCATTTGCATTTAAGAAGTTGCGTTCAGTCATGCCTGGCTAACAAATGCAATTTATAAATAAGTGTGTTTGGATCTGTTGCTCTGCCTGGTACATGTAAAAGGGGATTTGCAGCCAGCTTTCTGCCTCTGCTATTTCTTATGTTAGTCCTGTGCATCAGCTGGAGCAGCCAAAAAGATGATCTTAGTTGAAGAAGCTGGCTAGGCCTCCTCTACCCCAGCAGCATTCAGCTACAGAAATCAAGACCTTGAGACTCTGCCTAAATGTAATGCTGTGAGTCTGATGTCTGGTCATGATTTTTCACCTGTGCCAGCTGAAGAACTGGCTCTGAACAGCATCAGTATTAGTTGAATGAGTAAGAAGCAGAGGAACGAGAGAGAATACAGAAGGAGGGAGTGGGAGTACAGAATCAGAACAGGGAAGGGTTGCCATCCCTAATTAGTTGCTGGAAAGGTCAAGGCACTCAACTGCAATTAGAGAGACATGGGTTTAAGGTTCCCTCTAATTTAAGCTGGCGATAGGAAAGTATCCTGACCATCAGACTATGCTGATGAGTCTCCATGGATGATGATCTTTTTCTTTGATTTTGACGTGAAAAATCTGGGCCTGAAAAACTTTTCCCCCTTCAGAAATGAGTGCAACTACTACTCTTCTGGGACCCCCTGCAAACCAAAAGCCCACACCAAAAAAACACAGAAACAAACAAACAAACAAACAAAGTTTGATTCCTTTCTGATAGAAAATAAATTCTGCTTGTGAAAATTGCCAAGTATTTCCACAAAAGGGACATTTTTAAAACCTCATCATGTGCTGAGACCTTTTCCTTTCCATTTAACATTTCATTTATGCACCTACTCCAAGTCCAGCCACCAATGCAACATTATTCCTCTATACCAGAACTGAAATCAGCACGATTTAGAAAAAGAAGGGAAAATGTCAGAGCTGGAAATAAATAGAAGTGTGGTAAGGGGTACAGGTGAAAGGAACAGCAAATGCTAGTTGGCAAGGAATATAGTAATGTGCCTAGGAGACGATGAGGAACAGCATATATGCAGTCCTGAGCTGAAAAGAAATAGGTCAACAAAGCAATAATTTAGCATTTTGCAAACATTGTCCAAAAAAGTTGCCAATATCAGTGAGATCCCCAGGTTAGAGTTTCCTCCTGCCATTATGGACTGTTAAATAAGTGGCCCAGTGCTACTTTCTCTTGTGTGTCTCTCCTTTCCAAAAATGGTTAATTTCCCATTGTTAAGAAATTTGTGTAGCTTGTCCTATTTTTTAAATTGGATACTTACATTTTCCCTCCTTTTTATGGCCTTTTTGGTATTGTGTGTTTCCCTCTACATGTACTGTACATGCATTCAGTTGTGCAGCCAAAAAACCATGAGGCTAATTAAATTTTAACTGCACATAAATTAGATGAGATAACAGTAGTTGAACGCTTTCTGGTTCAAATTATACAAAATTCAGATTTACACAAGGTGTGCACATGGGGATGGCTTGGGAAACAATTATTCATACACCCCACCCTAATCCATATGTAATCATCTCCCAGCCATACTGATTACACCATTCTAAAAAAGCCCAGTCTTTGGGTTGGGAAGTGATTGTTCCTTGGTACCCCTCCAAACTTAACTGACTCTTTTTTTTTTTTTTCTTTTGTAACAAGAATAGGAGAAATTCTGGGCCAGTACCTCTCTCCCTTTTCTTTTTCTGAGACTGAACTTAGGCGGACAGATGATAGAGATGCATACAAATACAAGACCAACTGCATTTAATGATTTATATAAGCTTTCTCCTCCCTCACTTCCCATCACCCTTAGACCAGGCGTTGGAGTAGCGTTGACCTCCCGGTCGTGTCAGTCGGTGATGAGCGGGTTGACTCGCACTGAATTCCAGGCTCACGCTTGAGAAGGCTGTGAGCATCGCTGTCGTGCAGGGCTAACGGGGCCATGGAGCTTCCAGCTGGGGTGGCAGGGGCTTGGTGGGACCAGGAGTTATGGCAGGGCAAACATCTGCCTAGGCAAGGCACAATCATTCTTTGCTCCAGCGCTTTGCTATTCATTTGTTAAACTGTTTTTAAATGTGTGTCTAAACCCTTACTAAACTGCTACTTCAGGATTTATTATTGCTCATTTCAAAAGTACTTCTCATGGTAACAGTTATGTAAAAATCGTTTCCTGATAGACTGTTCTCTGCTGTCTGGCAAAGGCTCTGGGCTTATATCACTGCAAGACAGATGGCTCTAACAGATTTACAAAGACTTAACATACAAATGAAACCTATTACTGCTGAAGTCTTCATCCATGCCTTAATAATCTCTTGCCCTCTCTATTACAACTCCCTCTTTTCTGGCCTCCCCAGTTTCCAAGTCTTCAGCATGTGTAGAATATTACATCCAACCTTCTTTCAAGTACAAAGAACTTGTATTTCCCCCATTTTCAGATATTTCCACTAGATCTTGTTCGTTCTGGGATGCTGTTCAAAACTCCTTTCCTTCTCTTTAACCTTTCATTGATATATTTCAGCCTGGTGAACATAAAGCCTTCTCTGCCTCAGCCCTTTCCCCAAACCTCCTGTCCAGCTGGCACCCAGCTTATGAATTGATTTTGACTTCAGTGGAAGTAGAATTGGATCCAGGGATACCCAGATAAGACCTTAAAATGCACTCACGCTGTCTGAGAGCCCACGTCTTACCGTTTCATAGGCTGAAAACGGCTTCAGTAGGAGCCTTTGCCTGCACAGCCTTTGCTGTCTGCCACAGACTTTCCTCCACGCTGAGACCGTGACGCAGAAAAGCATTTTAGCACATGCTGGGGTCCCGGTGAGACCCGGGACTTGAGCCTGGGCTTCGTGTTAAGCACTGTCCTCAGCAGAGATGGTACTGACAATGTGTTTAAGTGTTTTCCTAAGCAGCCGTCTAACTCCAACTCTTTTCTCAATTTCATCTGAAAACTGACTTTCTGTCTTGGCTGCTCCTCCTCATTTATCTCTCCATCTGCTATTATTGTATAACCCTGCCCGTGCAATTGAAATCAAAGCAATGTTCTGGAGGTAAGCTGTGCTTTAAAGTTGCTAACCGAGGAAAATCTGCGACCGCAGCACTCTCTGAATTGCAAAGACATGTTTTGCACTGAAGTTGTCCTTGTACCTCTCTGTTTGATGTATGAGCTATGTATTTATCTGTCTTTCAGGTTCACTTGATGTTCCCTGATCATGTACCAAAGCCATGCTGTGCACCAACAAAACTGAATGCAATCTCCGTGCTCTACTTTGATGACAGTTCCAATGTTATTTTAAAAAAATACAGGAATATGGTGGTGCGTTCATGTGGCTGCCACTAGAATAAAAAAAATAATCTAAAGCAGAGGGGTTTATTCAGAATTGTAATAAAGTCAAGATATGAGCCTTGCTGATGAAAAGGCAGTCCTAAATTTATTCCATTTCATGTCATCTCTCATTTAAATGTACAGTGTAATGTATATAGTAGTTTTTATTTATTTAAAAGTATATAGTTCCTTTTGTATAGGCAAAATTTCAGAACCGTTTATTTTATGGGTCACCTTGCTATGCAGCAGAACTTCACAAACTAATTTTTCAATTGACCATACTGGAATCTATTTCATTCAATTTTGATAGTTTAAAGTAAAGCCTTTTTATAGATTTTTTTAAAGCTAGAAACTCCAGAACTTCTGTAACTGCTTCTTATTGTTAAAAGAACTAAAATACATTTGGTCATATCGTGCCAATGAAAACTGTGGCAGGATATTTATTTAGAAAAAGGCACAGAAAAAAAACCTAAACAAAACTGCTTGGCTAAACATATTTTTTCTTTTAGAAGTTCTGCTCCATTAGAAAAAGTGAAATGTTGAACAGTGCTTAAGTAAATAAATAGTAGATAGAAAATAGAAGTGAAAAGATTGCACATAATTGTCATAACTATTTTCTTTAACAAGATGAGTGTAACTGGAGGTGTATGTTACTTCTTGGCTTGTGGGCTGCAGCGTTTGCAAAAGGCTCAAAGCTTCGGGAATTCTGTGGAGACAGACTCTCGCCTCTCTCTATGACTTTCCAAGTTAACACTAAAAATTGAACTACAACATTCTTACCTCAAATCATATCAGTCTATTATCTATTACACTGCTCCGGTAAATATTTTTATAATTACAGCACAAAGCAAAATCAAACGAAAAAACCACACAAGCCTTCCCATTACATACACGTGTTACTATATACACAAAATATACAGAAGATAGGGTATGGAAGGGCTTTGCTTTATATAGGTCCTACTTTTGGACGTGTTTTCTGAGTGTGCGAGCAAAGGCACAGGGGATACAGCAGTCACCTGTTTAATCGAAAATCTTGTCCCTGATGCTGGCTGTTTTCAGGCAAAGATGAAAAACACCTTTCATAATGAGCTGTTGGGTAATTTCCAGCCTAGTTTTGGTCCCATCTGCTTTTCTATCAGGTGGAGATTGGTTTAAATCGTGAGACTTAAGATGGGATATATTTCTCTTTTTTTAGTACTAACTATCATAATTTTTGGAAATTCTTAAATCGATACAAAAAATTTTTAATCTCCCTAAATTTTTGGCCTCAGATGAAATCCTGTGGTTGTGAACTGCACAACTAATTACAGATTATCATTCCAACCACTCATATGCTTCTTTTGAATTAACCACACTTAATGTCTTTGGACACCCCTTTGTATTAGTGTTATGAAAATGGGAAAACAGAAACTCTGTTTTCTCTTTATTACATGGCTAATTATAATATATGCTTTTATCATTAATTGCCTTGGTTAAAAATGCTTCATTTAAACAGTTCTCAGAGAGTTGTTAAAAAATGAATTAGACAGTCTATTCATGTAAACTCTGACTTCTCTGGTTATTTAAAGCACATTTCAGAAAACTCAGATTATTACAGACTGATAAAATCAGTGTGTGTGTGTGTGACTGTGTGTATTCATGTGAATGTGCAACTGTCTTTTTTGCAGAAACTAATTTATTTTATCCTGCTATTGGAGTAATACATAAATCCTTTTTATGCATACACTCAGTTTTTTTGAAAAATTAACAGTTTTCATTTCAGTCTTGCTAACTCTTTCCCCTTAATACAACAGTTCCATTTTACACTTCCATCTCTATTTTATACTGACATTACCTACATATCTACGTTTAGTTGCAGTTCATGCACAAGGGTGTATAGCAAAATACAATGTCTCCAACTGAATTACCATTTTGGAACAGTTAAATTCCTGGGTTGTCTTCAAAAAAGTTACTGGTTCCTGTATAAATTGGGTAGGTGGACATGCTTTTTTGAACTCAATTTATTCTAAATGGAATTTGATGGAAACTAAATTTGGGGTACATTAAGTAATATATTTTTAAATAATGGTGTACCATTTTGAGAATAAGAAACTGAAGATTATTGTTATATTATTCTTTGAAATATGCTGTTGGAATATATTTCTATATTTTGAGACATAATAAACCTGTAATACTATTTTCTTCTGCTGTGATTTTGCTTGAGACACATGACAAAACGACACTGATTTCATACATTCTTTTAATGGTAAAAGCAAAAGATCACCAATAATTATGGATAGATTTTGTTGCATTTCATTTTTTAGTACAGACATTTTGCAAAAATACTTTTATTTTGTTACTTCTTAAATTGCAGCTGGTGAACCACCTACACTACTAATAAAAAGCATGCCTGCAAATCATACTTCCAAATGCTAATACTCTACTCAAAATATACTAGAAAGGAGAAATAGGGGTTTTTATTCTCCATAAATCCCTAAGTGGTCATTCCTCTGTTTGAAAGGAAGTATAGTGGCATCACACCTTCTGCATGCTCTGGATAAGTGTATGTGTGTGTTTTCATGTAAACTTGTTCGGGTAAGCCCTTCTCCAGTGGTACCTAATACAGGGCTTTTTGTTCTTTTACTTGGTCCTGTCAAATACTTGTTATTTTATATATATTTATACATAATATATGCACACAGATTATATAATATAATGTGTATGTAATTATATTAAATTATATTAAAAATATACCTATTCCTATAGCTATATCTATTTCTATAAAGACCATTCCATTACCATTTAGGACACAAGAGCTTTGTTCTTTATAAAGTTGTTTAAACTTTCTACATCCTTAACAACTGGAAAGAGTCTAAGGGACTGAAAACTAGAAAAACAGAAGAAGCTCTGTGCAGAATTAATGTTACATTATGGGTCAGAGCTTCTTAGTCTTTAACTTACTCATAATGTTAATACTATTGCTGCACATTCTGGGCCAAAATCAAATGTGTACAGGGTGTTAGTAGTGACGACTTCTATGGCTTAGGAGTTTTCACCCAGTGGAAGTCAGAGTGGAGAGCTGAACAGTATTGCAGCAGTGATTTCATTTCCCTTTCAAAGCGCGTTGTTCTCCGAGTGTGATTTTGATGCCCAAGACAAGGTGAGCTCTGACTGACTGAAGTGTGGAGCACTTATAAGTTCTCTGATGCGCTAAGCTGTGAACCCACATAACAGTCTTCCTTCAGTTAAGACCACTTGATGAGCGTTTCACCTTTATCTGGATGCCCATTTCCACAAAGTATTCATTAGGTCAAGTTTTTCTGATTTTAGCCAAAGGTTTCAAATTCATTAATTAGGGAGCAGGGGTGGGAGATGCTTGCTGATAGTCAAAACCATACATGTTTGGATTGCATTAGTGCTTTTTTTTTGATACAAGATCAAGCGAAAAATTAAATTCATATAAAGCTGTCTGGTAGCTGACAGCACAGCAATACATCCGATCAATACAGAACTCAGCTAGAGATATCTCGGACAGACATCGGCAAAAATGCCTTCAAACGAAAAGGACGATTGTTCCTTGTTCGGTTGTGTATCCGCCTGAAGGGCTGTTCTGACTGACGTCCTTTGCAACCCCACGACTCTTCCTTCTGCAAGTGGCCTGTTTAGGCTTTTAGGTAAATATGCATTTGGGTTGAGTGATTAGGTAGGTAATATAAATGGAGCCGAATGAAGAGCTCAGGTATCTTCAGGAATAAGAAACCAGTCCCTTACAGCTGCACAGGAGAGCACAGCTGTTTATTTTGCATATGGGCACCTACAGGACTATAGAACAGTACTTAGTCTTATATTATGATAGGAGTCAATTGTCAGACAATTTGGGGCATGTTTTTATTTTTTATATATATATATATATATATATATATATATATAAAATATACATGAGTACTGTGAGTTACATCTATACTGTAGACACCCGAACTGAGACTTTCTTTAGGGACAACACTGAGAAATTGCTCTTTTGGATTGCAGTTCACCTATTTCTCTCCAAAGACTACAAAGTGGGTTTAGGACAATGGCTCTGCTTTAGACCTTGTCTGAGCAACTGTAGTCAGTGACAATTCCTGACACCTTTAAAATAATGTTACATTGTGGAAAAAGTTTTACTGGGATGTTTAATTGGGATGTGAAGCTTTGAGAAATCTTTTGTTATCATAAAGGGATGTCAGACACTTCCATTTTGGAATACAATTTTATCTACCATTTACTTGGAAAAAGTTGGGTTGCTGACTGTGTATTTCTTCTGTTTTCTTTGCCAGCTCCTCTTTTGAAACAGTTCCATGGTAAATTGACTTTGACTCAAAGATGGTTAAAAAAATGATTTAGGCTTGTACTCATAAGATTCTGAGTTGTTTCAGCAATAACCAAAGGATTCTAATAACCAGGACTTTAAAATTATGTTCTTTGCAATCTCTACCAACTTTTCTGCTCACAGTCAGCTGTGCATAGGGAGAATCTGACATGTGGTGCCTGAATGACGAACAAGCCACATGTGAATTATACAGCATTATCTTTTACTATCTCATCTGCAGTCACAGAACTTGCAAACTGTGATTTACAATGTGTTACTGAATTCTTACTCACATGGCTTGAGCAAGAGCTTGATTAAAAACAAAAGAAAACTAAACTAAAAATCCAACAAAAAACAGCAAGAGGAGTTTTTCTTGCCATCTTAATTCAAATAAATCAGCACCAAACGTGGTACATGAGGGATCAGGAATCTCATGTGAATTAAATGGGCCTTTTGTATTCTGCTTTCCATATTTACAACACATGACACAGACACTTCTGACTGCTATATTTCCAGCTAAATACTTTCTGTTCTGTTTCTGTACTTTTTTGCTTCCAGATGGGTGCCATCAATTATTATTATTAATATGAATGAAGATACTTTCATTGCTTTAGCAGATGTTAATGCTTTTCAAAAGAGGTATGTGTTATTAGTATTGCTACTTTACAGGTACAGAAAAGTGGAGAGACTTGCCTAAAAGAAGAGCAGATGAGAGGCGGTATAGGGGAGACAACCAGATCTCCAGTGTCCCAGTGCTCTAACCCCTATCCCACACGCTTGGTGGAGTGATGCATACCCTTGTCTTTCCTGTCCCTGGTTAATAGGCAATCTTAGGGATTACGTGGATCTCTATTTTGCATTTACCAAGTACTTTTCTAGTTTCCTGATTGTTTGTGGAAATCTGGGCAGGGACTGATAAAACTGGGGCATGCGCAGGGGGCAGCCCATGCCTTTCCTACATGGGGGGAGTTATATATTAAAGCTACTTCTAGGGAACCAACCAAGATCTCCTTGAAGCAAATCTTGGAGCACCTTTTCAACAGCGTCGTAAATCTGCACCAGTAGAGTTGAAGGCGGTGATGCATCCCTGCCTTTTCTTCCTTACATTTTCCTCCTGCTCAGTGGGAAGTTCAGCAATGCATTAAGCCTGAGACTGTGT